AAGACATCTTTAAGTAAATGAACCAACTACTTCAATGAAATGCAAAGTACAGTAGCCTCTAAGTGCATTTGCTAGCTAGCTATGAAAACAGTGTTTTTGTCATCTTACTGTAACACTTTGTGAAATATAACTACAGGTATTCAGTTAAAAACAATGCCAGCAATGAAGTAGGCTAAAATTCATACCACAAAATGACTATCGTTCTAGTTAAACACTTTTAGAGCTTGATTTACTCTACTGTAGCTTCTAATAAATGTTAGATTCAATCACTCCCTTGTAGAACTTAGATGTACAACAGTCATGCTACATAAAACCTTAAGACCTAATATGTATAGCACAATTAAACTTAATGCAACACGGAAATCGGGAATAATTTTCCCAAGAGCACTACAGAGCAGAGAAATAAAATGGGCCATTTACCATTACACATCTACTCTCTATTAAGGCAGCTCTTGGAATTTCCTGCAGGGAAGACTACATATTTTACTTCTAGTAGATGGATTTTCTAAGAACATTTACTTTCTCTAGTTAAAACTGATTTCCTCATGCCTGTTTACAGAGGCACATTTTTAAAAAGCCAATCAAAGCGAAAGCAATGGATGTGATTGGCTTTCCACATGCCTAGGCACTTGGCACAAGTTTGCTGAAGCATAGCCCTACAGGCCCATATGCATAGTTAAAGGTAGTTACTCAAAAGGAATGACTGAAATACGTGCTACTTGTGTGGATTTAGTTATGAAAACTGTGGTTTGCAAAATGGGTAGGAAGAGGTAATGAGTCCATTATAAACGGCTCAGTCTTTATAGCCTCACTGGCAATATTGTTCTCATTCTTCTGTATATTTCTTTCTTCTGTATCCAACTTCATCCCCAGTAACGCATATTCACAGCCTCCCAAGCCTATGCTTCAGAGAGCTCCTACAAATTCACTTTTCTGCAATGACAATAAGCAAGTGAACAAGTCACAGTACAAACTATACCTTAACAGCCTTCGAACGTTTTCCTAAGACTTTCCCAGCGCAATTAGATCTTTAACATCCTTTTCACACCTGCAACGAATTGCTTTTCAGAAAAACTCTGCCCGTTCGGTCATGGGAAACATCAACTCTTGGTAAGTCTGCAATGAGCTTTTTTGAAAAGCTGATAACAGCAAGCTGTCCTGAAAGCCTGTCCAGGGACCAGGAAGAGGTTACTAGGGCTCCCAGTTTGTACTAACTTGGGTTAAAACACAAACACAGCAGCTAGACATAAAATGTACGGGTCCCTGTCGATTGCAATCACTTTCAGAAGAAAAAAATAAGACCTATCAGAGTATAACATATTCCTGATGTAGACCAAAGGAAACTTTTTTTGGCTAAAGAAAGCCTGAACAACATACCTTTGAGTGTACATCAGTATTTTTCAGCATTGGTGGTTTTATGACTGCTTTAGTTTGATGGAAAGAGCAATGATAATTTCAATACTGAGTATTTTACAGGCTGAGAGTTCTCCTACTCCCCTTGAGCTATGCAAGGGCATTTAGAACACTAACATGAAGACTACCACGTTAAAGCCCATACTATTCACATCCAGTTACACACAGATGGTATTAGGGCAATGACAGATGTACCTGTTGTTTTAAAAAGGGGCTTGAAACTTGTATCGCAACACACTTTTTTTCTCACTCTTCTCCAAAATATGCTACATACCACATCATTACAATTTATCTATCTGCAGATTTTCTGAGTTTTATACTCCAATAATTTAGCATATGAACTTTCTGAAACACTAAAACAAGACATTTATGGATGAGGGACTGCTTTCCATGATGCTGATATGCAGCACTGAACTCATGAATGTTCTATTAAATAGACAGAGCCATGAATATTAGACCTAAGTTTTTTGACTCAGGCTAATATTTGTTTTAAACAAACTAGGAATTTGTATTAATTAAGAAATCAAGATGAGCCAAGATCAGTCCTCCTGTTGCCACGTACATGCCCAAACACCCAAATTTCTCATGTGTCTAACACAGCAAGTATGACTCACTCAGTACCTATCAAGTATTAGACTCTAGAATAGTTAAGGAGCACAACACTTTCAAGTGAATTTATTTTAAAACTACTGTTCTTTTTTTTTTTCCCCACTAAACAAGATTAAATTGACCCAAATCATTTGAATTCTTGATTCAGCCTGAGTCATGTTGTGCAATATTCTGTTACATTCCATCTGGCAGGATTTAACACTGCATGGTACAGAGTGAAATCAATTAAATGCATACTTCAGATACATGCTATTGCTTAAATTAGTTTGTAAAGGCAGGCCAACAGGTAACAGGCAACGTAGATTGGCAAGAAAATGAAATGAGTTATATCATATCTCCTTCGCTTCCCAAATACTATTTTGCTTTCTCCCTAACAAGAAACTGGCAATCTGACAGAAAACTTATTAGCCACTGAGAAGTTCTGTACCAGCACTGTGTGGAATGTGCTCTGAAGCACCGTCTGCTTGTGAAGTATAGATGCGTTCACAATACGCAACAAGATAATGCACAATTAATAGAGCAGAATATTAATCCTACAGCAATCTGAAATATGACAATCCTGCTTCAATCTGCTATAATTTCTGGAAGCATTTCATTTATGCTAGTTATAAATGCTAAAATACATACCTAGCTAACAAACTTGCAATCAACATCTGGGTAGCAGATAAGAACAGGAGTCACTGTCATCTCTGTGCTAATTTTCTCAACATACTTTTCTTTTTTTTTTTTGTAAGTCCCTGGAAGTGTTGCAAGTCAATTGAATCAATTCCACTCAGGTGTATGCAAAACACATTAAGGAAAGACAAGATCTCATCAGTTCTGTTTTGACTATCAAAATGTTACGTGCACAAGCTCGCCTAAAACCTTTCAAAATTGCTAGGAACTAAGTCTTGCATACCACAAGAGCAATGCACATTAGAATTATATTTATAAGCAAAGCCCAACATGTCTCTTGCCAGATGTGAAGCAGTATGAACAAAAGCAGCTCCCTGTGCATATTTTATATTAAACACTGAGAATTTGAAAAAATCCCATAAATCAAATAAGCACAGTCTCTACAATCTTAGCTGTACCAGGTGCCAACGTCATAAATTGTTAAAATTAGTTCCAAAATCTTGTTGTTCAACATGATACAGAAATATTAACATTCTATCTCCCCCCACCTCTATTCTATTCTACTGAAATTACTTGTATCACCTTGCTGAGATGTGGCAAGTACCAAATTTGAGTTTTCAGGTTTCTCTGATGTTTAGAACTCTGTTCATAAAAGCTTTTTCCACAGCCAGTATTTTCTCAGTCCTTATGCTACCAGCATGACCCAATGCTCACCACAACTACATCACCTACACTCTCTTTAGAATCCAAATAGGAGGTTTCAATTTTTCTCATTGTTTTTAACTAGCAATGCCTGTTTCTCAAGGAAGCATTCCTTCCTCTTTGAGCTTCCCTGATGAAGGCAGCTTCTGCAATGGTGTCTGCTCCTCTCACAAGTGGTCCTGAAAGCTTACAGGCAGTAACCGTTTCCTTCTTCAGAAGCCTTCTGAAAAATGCCCCTCCAATGTGTCAAGAATAAACACGTCAACACTTGATAACTACGCGGGGAGATAAAACTGGGAAGAAGGTTTGTATTAATTTGTCTAAGACTATAGAAAGCAAAAATAAATGCATAGAACTGTAAACATTTAGAATACTGAAACAATTTTAGGAACAAAGCTAACAGATCATGGTGTCCAGTTCTCTGCGATCGCAGGAAAGCTTGTGACAGAATAACAACCTGGGGAGCTCTTTTGAACCCATTACTATTGCTGAAAGGCAGAATATCTTTCTGCAGCAAACTTTGCGTTGCTTAACTGACTGGGTTGCAAGCTCCTTGCTTCAGACAAGGTTGTCTGACACCACTAGAACTAGTTACTGGACTCCTTCTCTAGTTCCCCTTTGTTTGGGGAAATTCACGTATACACTTACATTTGCACAGACCAAACACACTAGAATGATGTTCCTAAGGGTGGGCAGACCGTCAAGGCTACAATACAACTACGTATAACTACTTTGTCTCCGAATATTAATCATTTATCAGAAGATTCAATAAGAACTACATGTACTTACAACAATACTTCTCAGAATTAATTCAAACATTTTTCGTAACAGAAGAAGAGGCAAAAGTACATTTTGTTTCTAGTAGTTCAATTCACATCATACTGCTCTCATTAAAACAAAGAATTTATTCAAAGTAATTAATATAAAGATCCTATTTACAACTGAATCAAAAAGCTAAAAAACAAGACAGGAACATTTACAACCAAGTTACAGACTAAAAATAGAAAGGCTAAAAAGTTTAGATAAAATACTTCCTTAAAAACACTTTTTGTAAATATTTTTCTGTCTCCTGGTACTACCAGGAGACTACTATTACTACCAGTATCTATCCATGATAATATATCTAAGAATAAACGCATCCTAATGCTAAACATGAATGTGTTTTAATATTAACATGTTTGACTTCCAGAGGAAAAAAATTTTAACATTAGGAAGTTTCTGTGAAAATAACTTAGCAGGTCAAAACAATTTTTCTAACTTTTGTATCATAAAATACTCATTAGAAAATTAAGACTGACTGTAGGTAAGCAATTTAAAGTAGCATCTAAACATTACAGCATCACTGATCCCCTTTAAGACTTGCATTGTCTGAAGTATTAATCTATTAGTCAAACACAGGGAAATGCTCACAAAGATTATGTCAAAAGGTATACTGTGCACTTCTCCACTCCCAAGTCCAAACGAAATTTCTTATTCATTTGTTAATACAGAAAAGGCATTTGTAAGCTCTATCAGGAGACAAAACCAGAACTTATTTTCTTTTAGAATTTAACAAAATCCTTGTATTTCCAAAAGTGGTTCTTTCTGAAATAATGCATTACTGAGAGAGATATCTTTAACACAAAACTATTCACAAGAGGAAAACAAAAGTCATCCTGTTCTCATTCGCTGTCTATCAGTCCTGCTTGAAATATGGATGAACTCAGAACTAAATCCTATTTTTCTTATAAACTTGAAATAAAATGTTTTTTGATGTCCTTGATTTAACATCCAATGCTACGCTTTCTTCAGAAAGGCCTCCGACTAGGCTTCTTGACACATGCTGTTCTTGCTTCTGGCTCCCTGTTTTAATTCCTAGTGAAGAAAGAAATGTTATTACAAATAGGAAGCGCTCATTCAATAAACGTAAGCAGAATTTAGCCTACCTGGACCTCCTTTTCGGAGCACATTTAGGAATTTTCACAAATATTTCTCGTCCCTATTGACAGCCTAATTTTGATATGCAAAAATGTAATCACACTCAGCTCAGTCATCTGCTGTGCTAATTGCCTAGAAAGGCCAATGATTAGACCCTCAATTGACACAAGATGCTATTGAAAAGGCAGTGCTTTACATAAAAACGTAGAAATATGTGAAAACTTTATTAATCTTTATTATTATACAACAGTATTGAAAAGTGAAAACTATGTCATTAGAGAAAGTTTTGTCTATTTAATCCAAAAGCAGCAATACCTCTTAAGGATTAGGTCATATTTCATTCTTCTCCTGTAATGCACGCTTTTGAAAAGAAAATGTATTTTATATACAGATAAACTTTGGAGAATCAAAAATCTATTCTCTGTTTCAGAATGTGATGCTTCATTACATAATTTCTTAATACCAGAGTAGTGATTGACTTTGATAACTTTGCAACACAGTCTTTGGTGGTCGAAAGTGACACTGACGTAACTGTGTATGCACTTCGGCAAAACAAGCATTAGTTTGACAATATTTAGCCTCAGTTTTACACTTTCCAGAAAGTTTATTGTAATAGAACTTCAACATTTCTCATGAATGGAGAATAATACATATTCATATGTACGTGCTCCCTCACATCAGTTCTTATATAAACACACATAATTCCTGTAAAATTGGCTTACTGCCTGTGCCACCGAGGAAAGCTACATGATCGGACTATTTCCTAAGAACAGCAGGCTAAAACTTTTAACATTTTTTCATCTCCTCTAAACTCCCCAAGAAGTTGCTTTAAGAAAGATTATTAAGTGTATTTCTGAAGACAAAGAGGAAAAGTAGACAAGTGGGTAGAGATAAAAGCAAAACTGTAAGGATTCAGTACATTAAAATCTACTGCAGGTACCAAGCAACTTGGTGCCACGCCCTAAGGCAGAGGTTTTTGGAAAGTTGTGAACAAAACACCTTCGTGCACATCTACTGAAAATACTATTTTTAACTGATTTTGTTACAGTAAAAATTCATCTACCTCAGCAATCAGTTTGAAGCAAAATAATTTCTAAATATTATTTTAAAATAATTTTTCCTTGGCTATGGTGTTTGCCCAAAATAGCCTCAAGGTTTAAGTAATAAATCTCTGAAAAAAACCTATCTATAAAAACAAATCAGTGTGGCATTATAAAGCAAAGCAAGCAGTTAAAAACAGGCATGGAAATTATTATAGGATTTTATTTTTTGATAAACCACTCTAGACAAAGAAAAATTTATTAATGAAGTGCACCAAATTTCTCAAAGAGTACCCAAACATCTTCGGGTGGAAGACCTTAACTCCTGGGAAAAGGTTTTCCCAACAGGTCTGTAGTAATGATGAGTTTTGATTACACACCATCTAGACAAAGGGTTAGACATTCAGATTATTTGTTTTAATCAATGGATATAGTATTCAAACCGACGGCTTAGTGTACTGATCACAGCAACACATATTGTTGAATTGACAAAACCTTGAGTATCAACCTTAATTTTGGACCTCCTGTACAAGCACCGTTACCAGCACAGAGTCATACGTCGGAATTCTGACACTTACCTGCCACTTTAGGTACTCTCAAAGGTCTATGGCTTAAGATTTCGTATCGGCCGTGTTTTGCAGAAACAGGGTCTTGTCGGCTGCTTAACCCAGTGTTTGATGTAGAACTGGAAAAATAGCCAGGAAAGAGTTTGTTTTCAGTAAAGTGATTAAGCTACATTATTGGAGTTTAGGCCATGCAACGTAGAAATACATCAAATGATATTATCCAGCATTGGTAGCTCATAACGGAATGCAAACAATAAACTAACGTATTTATGATGTATACATATGGGTACTATTCCCCTTTTTCCTTTTTAAAAATTAACAGGAATGTTTCAACTGTGAAAATAAGAACTAATGTGGTCACTTCCGTTACATCACAGACCAATATGCCACAGTTTTTTTGGAAATCACAGAAGCCAGTTTAATGGTCATTGCACACACATTATATTAAGAAATAATCTTAATTCATGTACAAGATCCTTGAAATGACCAGGCTGTGCTTGTTGAACAAATCAAATCTTTTATTGCTACAATAATTTTTCTACAGCCTCCAACACAGTTGGAGGGGGTGGCTTCATAGCAGACAATACTTTTGAGCTAAGCTACAAGAAAGCTGTTATAGCTTCAAATACATTAAGACAAAACCTCTATATTTTACAGCCTTTTACATGACGGACTTAAGATCTACAGGTAAAATTATGAACCTATCTGATCTCACCCTTTTACACTTGCCTTGCTAACTTCCCTGGTTCCACTCTGTAAGACAGCCTCATAAACAAGCTAATTCTATTTGTCCCAAGTTTCTATGCTTTTCCTGTTCCTCTAAGGATATTGTATTATTCCCGCTTTATAGTCCCCTAACTTACACTAGTTTTCTTAATAACTTTCTGCCTAAATGAAAATACATAGCCAGCAGTAAAGATTAAGACCTGCCTTGTGCCAAGCCTAAGATCTATGCACGCGTGCTTTTTGGAAGAGAACTTATGCCGGTAAGAATGTAATGCTACTTAGAAAAGCAGCCTCTGTATTATGACTGACTTGTCTCTTTATCCCTTGTCCTAGCAAACGACTGTTTCACATTATATTTCCCATTTAGAAAATATGCCTGAAATTTGTATTTTTTCTTCTAATGTTAGTTGGAGATGAATCACTGGAGTGAAGTACTTCAAACAGGGAAAGCATAGGAGAGAAAAAAGGGAGGGAAAGTAAAGAGAAAGGAAAGGAGGCAGTATCTGAAAAGTATATTCCTTTCCTCCTTCACAAATAAGCTTTCACTCCTCCCCTTCATCACCAACTAATAGACAAAGCCACAAAGAATTTTAGTTTACAGACAGTTTACAGTGAGGCAGAATAAATAATCCTCAAAAAAGAAGTGAAAGCTGTGGAATTTTTCTGTAGCGTTATTCTAACTTGGAAACTGGGAAATATATGTTTGAGACACAGACGGAATAAGATAAAAGAGCAGAAAGAGCTAGTTTTTTGGGAAGGGATAAGCATATATAAAGTTTGAATATCATTACACAGTTATTACAAAAAAAATACTCCTAAGGTCTGTCTTTGAACATTTACCTTCAGATAAATCAGGCTCCAAAAGTTCCCATACCTCTCCCTAAAGTGAATCTAGAACTCTAGCTCAGTTTCAGAGAGCAGGTAATTTATTCTGCTCAATTCATAATCAACTATTTAAAAAATTGAAAATGTGAGATGGGCCTCTTCTCATCCTAGCACAATCCTAGTAGAACAGTTTATAACCATAATTAATAATATTAGAACAGGAACGTGAAACTGAATCCAGTAAATCTGTGATGTAAGAAGACTTTCTATTCTTTTTGGAAAAAGAAAAAAATAGGAAAAAAAAGCGCTGTTTCATTAGTACTGACCTAACAGCTAATCCTTAAATACATTAATATAAACAAACAAAAAAGTACAGTTCCACTTAGCTATTCAGTTTCAGCTTTTCTGCTACTCCTACTTGCAAGCCTCTTTCATGGTCATGAAACAGAAGTGACAAAATGCAGAGTTCTTCCCAGAGCGGACCACAAGAATGAAGTCATAATAACTGTGACTGGAAATGAATTATCAGGAAAACAAAAGGCACTGGCCACAAATATTGTTAAGCTTTTTTTTCCATTTTCTATTTTGATAGTTTCTAATGTGTTCTAGCAAAGGCATAACATTTTCAAACAAATTAGATTTTTAATTGATGATGGAATCGGTCTTTTCAGACTTGTGTGTCATCTTGCTATGTTGAGTAGACGGCAGATACGGAAGACACAATGTCAGTCTGTACTTGTTAAACAACAGAAATTCCTACACCAAGAGTAGAAAAGAGTTCTACTCAACTTACCTGGCAAAAAAAAAATTAATTGAATTGTCAAACGTATTTGAGTCAGAACATCTCATGCCTAGGTCCAGATGACTTGTGTAAGAGGTTTTCAGATTTGAAATATACTGGAACTGAAGTGAGAACTTAAGAAATTAATACAAACTCATTTGTATAGAAGAGTTGGTTTAATCTTACCTTAATATCTTTCTTTTTCCCTCCGCAGCAGAAGTCATTGCCATATATGAGGGCTTCCTAAGTACTGAAGCAGGATTTTTGTTTTTTAAAGGGACACCAAACCTGAAACCAAAGAATTATATTTTTGTAAAATCTATTCTGGGAAAAGTCAAATGAAATTGTTCTTAACTGTAAATAAATATATGTTAATCCAAAAACATTACTAGAAATTCATTTCAGTAATTTTACTTAAGGCAGCTTCGCAGGACTTCACACATACTCGGCAGCTTTAACAATGGCATGTCTCAATGTCAACGTGGTTAAGGCATCCATTTTACAGACAGAAAAAATAAGGCTTAGAGAAAGTAACTTGCTTGAGGCACCACAAAAAAATTTCAAGAGTGCTGTATTTTCTTTTTGGTACACATCTTTTAAAACAGGATAAGCTTTCAACTTCATCTGTTGTCATTAACACACCACTAATTTCAAATAATGGCAGAACTGAATCTGATGCCGATTGAAATTGAGGGTTTGATTTTCAAAATGTTGGGTTTACAAACAAAATTGACATCAGTGGAAAAACCCAGCTATGAAGATAAACAGCACTGTTCGGGTAATATTCCTTGTCCGTATAAACAGAAGGTACCTTTGCAGAGCGGTATTGCTGCATGGCTGTGACACCTTCGCAGATGAGTCCATAGATGTTTCATTCGTTTCACCTGCCTCTTTATAGAGAATGACTGTTGAGTCCATGACAGCTTCATCACACTCTGGGATTATGTCACATGTAGAGTCCATAATATTTGCCTTTTTCACTGGCATATCTGTATTACATGCATTGGCTTCCTGAAGGCCTGCAAGGTGTAAAGTTTTCTTTACCACAGTCTGTGTACAGTAGCTCTGTTCAGGCTTTCTCCAAAATTGTGGGGTATACACAATAGGGCGGACCTCCTTGGTAAGAGAATCCTCCAAATGACGAAGACTGGAGTGCTTGGGTGCAGCAGGACTTTGAGCTGTGACTGGAGAGTCTATTAGCTTCCGCCTAGGTTTTTTCTGTGCTGGTACTTCATTTCCTACTTCTTGTGGTGTATTTTTATTAATTTCTTGTGACTGTGTAGCAGAAGTTGTACCTGCACAACATAGGCAACAATAATTAGCACAACCATCTATATTTACTACCTAAATCTTGCTTTTTCCCTCCTCTTGCGTGCTTAAATATGTTTATTAGCAGAAATGATTACAAATACTACTAATTTCATTTACCTATTTATTTGGTCAAATAACTGAAATTATTTCTATTGCAGCATTGTCCAGATGGTACCATTTCTTCTGTAGCACTCAAAGTATTATAAACATGCATAGGTGGATATAGTTAATCCCAGAGATATTATGAGTAATCACAAATAAAATATGACCCATGACAACAGGGAATGCAAGAGTAACAGTACTGAAAATGATTGTATTATAACGCAACTCTTTATTTAAGATGGTACCATCACAGTAATTACAGCTGCCTCCTAATGACAGCCATTTTTTCCCTAGTACGTACCATGCAGTAGAATGAAAGGGACTGTTGTAAAAGTAGGGACATAGAATCACTTAGAGGGACAATTCTTTGACATTGCAAGTAAGAAAGTAGTCTTTTGGAAAAGTGGAAAGAAAAGTGACTTGGATCCTGTCATTTCAATATATCAAATCTGGAAAAAAGCTCTTTACTAAAAACCCCAGCCTTAAAAATAACAAAGCAAGCAATGCAGTAGTAATTGGCCATTCCCATTCATCCTGATTTATACTAATTTATTTTTTAGAAGTGTCATAATATTTTTGTTTGCAAGCAGGTAGTAATGAAGGCAATCTCAGAAGTAAGAGTGTAAAGGCCTTTCTTTTATTCAAGTGTTCAATAAAGGAAAATAATTTTAAGACACAGATCACTGTTCAAATGACTAAGCTAGTAGCAACTTAAGTAGTTAATAAAAAAATATATTTTTTTTGGTAAACAAATCAGGGGTAGGAGAGGGCTGTCCAAACCCCAAGTGCTTCTATATTTAACTTCCAGTGCAAATTTGAGAAATGAAGACTACTATCCTTAAAATGTCTATGGATTGGCCGCACTTCAGCTGGTAGCCACAGCATCATACCTCCCCATACACCATTCCTATGAGCAACTAGACTGTAAAAAGAGCTCCTGCTTTTTAAATTGCTGCAAGTTACTAAGGAATTAACTATGGTATTCACGTAACAGTGCTGATAAGCATTTGTTTCTTCTAAAATTCCATACTATTTTTGCCTCAGAGTAAGGAAGTTAGTTCGAACTCCTAAGTCTGAATGCTGCTTTAGTTCTTTATTGCGTGTTAACACTTAACAGCATTTTTAGGCATTCCATAAAAATTCGTGGAAGAGAAGGAAAATCGATTAAAAACACATATTGCATTATTCCACACCTCTCTCCCCTGAGCCTGATTTCCTACAAAAGCAAACCTTAAACGACTGTAGTACTTTCTGTCACTGTTTACCACTCTCAGACCCCATGTAATTTTGACCTTATTACCCAGTTGCAACCCAATTTGCCACAGGCCAGAAGCTTTAAGAATGCCAGTTCCCCAAGTAACCTCAGAAATCAGATGTCTTGGGGAAAAGGCCCAAATGCGAGTCTCACTGAAGGAAAGCCGTCAAAGGATGATGTCAGCACCAGTTTTTTTGTACACACTTCAGACCTAGACATACCATATGATGGGATTCCTCATGCCCTGCTACATGAGATGATGCCCAATTAGAAAATACAAATTAGAGACATGAGGAGACAGGAAAAGGATTTAAAAGACTACCATGAGACCTAGACCTGTTCTGGGAAAATGAAATAGGTAACAAAGTGTGTACAAGTAGCAAGAAAATCAGATGCTAAATATAGGCCACAAACCTATCCTATGTCGCCAGAACTTAATTCAATAATGAAATGATTGAAAAACCCAAAGCAAACATTTATTTCTCACTCAAGGGCTCAGTTTCAGAAAGAACAATGTTTAAAATGCTACGGTTCCACAAATATGCAACATCTTACCCAACAATGCATAAACAATAAAAGCAGGTTAATTTAAGGTGAACTGCTCATAGGAGAAGATGCCTGGACAACTACACGAACATTTATAATTCTATTATGCTGGTTTCAGCTTTGAAGAAACACAAACCCTGAAAACTCAGGCCTGAGAGGACTACTGGACGTGAAACAACTGAATGGTGAATTTGTGTGTGTGTGCCCATGTACAGTTCACCTCACTATATATACGTAAAGGATTTTTTTGTTAAAATGCAAAATATATTATTTTCTCATACATAATCTTAGTCTAATTTATGGTCAGCATTCATGGGGTGAAGTGCAGTAGGTTGTTGAGATACAGTAGCTTGATTGTAATCTAAACATCAAGCTAATTCAGAATATTCTCCATGAGCAGTGAAATGAAAGGGGTAGTAGAAGAGGGCCTTTGTGTTCCCCAAATAATTTTTACCTCCACCAGAAATAATATAAGCCTACTTTGGTTAAGACATTTTTCTTCAAGACTTTTGTTGGTAACAAGCAAGAAACTTATTTTTGAACCATTTTCAGTATGTACTCTGTGACACTGTCAACAATGCCCTGCTTCATTAACACACTTGTTCTTTAATTTTGGTTTCATGAGTACAATATTATTCTTCTATGTAAATGACTAACATTTCTTTCAACAAAAAAATATTCTAGTCATCACAATCAAAAACTGAGTTTTAAAAAAACCTGTCCTTTAAATTTTCTTTTGACAGTTTGTATTCTTACATACAAGAGAAAGCTTTAGCTAACTGTTTGAAACAACTATCCACTAAACATTTCAGGATACATTTAAAAATATTAATTTAGCAGTTTTTCCTGCTGCTTATATGCATCTGAAAATGTGTGTTTTGGGAAAAATAATGGTTAGAATTCTATTTGCCTGTTGTTAAACTAGGACAGGGAGGTTCCTGTTACAGAAAGTTTGCTTACTGTAAAGACACTGAGGTTTCGCTAATGTCCTAAATTTACTAGGGAGTCGGGAGAAATATTTTGGCACAAGTGCCAAGTTTTAAAGCTTCTCCAGGACTAAATACTGGAAGGATTTTTAAATTAACTGTAAATGCAAGCATTTAAAACATGAACTAAATAGGTAAGTAACACAAAAGTATTGCCAGCATTAATAATTTGTTGAATTTAATGATAATAAACAGTATTTCATACTGTAATATAAGTAAATTAATAAAAAGACAGTCGCAGCAATTCTATATAGGGCAAATAAGCCACTAGTAAAAACCCAGACCTATTTTTAAAATCTATCTATTTCTGGAATGAAACTCATTGTTAAATGAAGTTAAAAAACCCTAGCTTTTCTTGCCAGTTAAGTATTGGAAAGCATATAAATTATTCAAGAAGTGTCCCTTCTCACAGCTTTTTGTGAAAGCATTAAGTTGCTGCTAACACAGTAAACAACAAACTAAACGAAAACATCACCAGCAACATCATATTCAACTTGGTCTCTCTAAATAACATAAACCAAATCTGATGTGACAAGAAAATCCAACCCCAACACCCCAATTCCATGGTAGCTTGCTGTTATACAGTATATAGCTCCAAACAGTTATGACCCAAAGTAAACAAATACAGCAAGAAAAACATTTAAACCCACAAAATAAAAGTTTGCCAGTGGTTTTATTTGTCTTAATAAGGAAGCAGCATACTGAAGCCAGTTGCTAAGTTTTGCAGGTGACCTTAATAGCTGCCATTGAAAAGTTTAAATAAAACCACTACTCCTATAGATTTTAAGTTCACTTCAAACTATCACATCAAAAGTGTTTCTCCCTAAAAAAAATAAGTCATTATTTCTTTTTTTTTCAGGAACCTATTTTCAAATACTTCAAATGCTAGTCAATATTATTAAAAACATTAATATTCAGAGCCAAACTTAGATTCATATATATGAATACTATTACTTAAAGAGAAAATGTAGTACCACAAGCTGACACAAAGGCCTCAAACTAAAACACCATACCTTGTCTTTCCTGAATACTACATTCATACAATTTTAGTGTAATTTTGTCTAAACAAGCACTGAATATTTCAGCAACAATTTTAGCAAATGTGGTCATCCATCACTGCATGGCTTTTATTGCAATGGGACAGCCAAAATATGGAGAACTAATTCCCCTAAATCCTATTCAAGAAGGGAAAAAGCTCCAGGACAAAGGACTTAAATGTTTTAAGCAGCAAATATGAACTTCCAGTATTAAAGCAACACAGAAGAGACATTAATTTCATAGCAGGTAACGCCTACTAAACCCAAAGTAGTTGTATGACAATTTTAGGCAATACTTTCTCCCAGGATGCTCAGTTTTAACATGATACTGTTGAGTTCTTGTAGGTGGGATGTATGTATATGTTATAGCACATGCTTTATCTTACTGCCTAAATATTCCAATGGGTCAACACAGAAAATTGAGACAATGGTACTTTCCTAGTTAGGAACAACTGGGGTAATATATAATACATTAATAAAATATCACAGATGAGGTTAATAAGGAATTATTTTATTTCTTGCAGTAACAAACAGTAGATACCCCATTCACATCACATACTAATTTTAACACTAAGAGCAACACTTACCTCCCACAGAATAATTATACCGCTGCACTCACTGCAGCACGCTGTAGCAAATCCCGTAAGTGTAAACGGGTTACAAAGTACAGATTTGACAAACATTTGATTGGTTCCATGGGATTTCCCATTGCATTGGAACTCTAGATTTGTCCTGTTATTGTTGTCTGTCTTAGGAGCGTGTTACTGGGAACTACTAATACAGGGTACTGAAGATGACACAGCAGTGGAGCCAAGTATAGCTATCTTCTTAAACAACAAATCTGAATAGTTCCTGAGTGGACATCTACTGCTAATCATTAAGTGTTGTCATTACTTTTACTGAAAGATAAACAACACATTCCAACTCTAAAGAAAACCTCCAAACCTGTTCCATAATAAGGCAGGGAAATTATAATGTTTATGGTTTGCATTTGCTTCACATTTCATGGCCAGTTCAATCTTTTACATCAGAATGATCGCTATGATTCAGTGATATTA